AAGGGAAATTTGAACTCATTAAACACAACATCTTTGGAGATGTAAATTTTGCCATTAGGACTAAGACACGTGTACCCTTTATGGCTTGGTGAGTAGCCTAGGAAAACACACTCATGAGATCTAAAATCAAACTTGTGCTTGTTGTATGGTCGAAGGAGGGGAAAACATGCACAGCCAAAGGTTCTAAGAAAGGAAAAATCAGGAAGGGACTTGTGAAGCAAAAAGTGAGGGATTTGGAACTTTAAAGCTGAAGTGGGAAGCCTGTTAATTAAATACACAGCAGTGAGGAACGCATGATCCCAATATTTTAGGGGAAGAGAGGCATATGCAAGGAGAGTTAGCCCCATGTCTACTATATGTCTATGTTTTCTCTCAACCAACCTATTTTGATGAGGAGTGTGAAGACATATCAAACGATGAGTGATGCCCAACTCAGTGAGAAATTTGGTAAAAGGCCTAAACTCACCACCCCAATCAGTTTGGACAGACTTAATAGCTTGCTTGAATTGTGTAGAAACCAGGGAATGAAAATTTTTGAAAACAGACTAAGAGTCAGATTTTTGTTTAAGAAGGTAAATCCAAGTGAACCTGGTTGCAACATCCACAAAGGTTATATAATACATGAAGCCTTGGGATGACTGAATTGGTGCTGGTCCCCACAAGTCACTAACAATAAGTTGAAAAGGTTCAGAATAAACTGTAGAAGAAGGAAGTGAAGGCAATCTGTGAGATTTGCCCATACAACATGCAGAACAAAAATCAGAAATTGGTTTATTTCCTAATGAAATATTACAATGAGATAGTATCCTTTGTAAAGCTTCAAAGTGAGGATGTTCTAATCTAGAATGCCAGAGATTATAAGACCTAGATACATCAGCCACTGAAGTATTAATGGAAGCAGTATTACAAGAGTTGGGAATACACACTGTATGAATAGACTTATTGGAACAATTACAAGATTGCACAGAATTAACATAATTACAACACGAAGAATTACAAATAGCTACTGAATGATCAGAAGCACTCGAAGGATTGCTTGAGCAGCCTGGAGATGGTGAGGAAACAGTAGTTGGAAGACCTTTGAACTTGTAAAGACCATCACTTCCAAGAAAGCCTTCAAGTAAGACCTCCTGGGTCTCCTGAGATTTGACAACACAGTAAGTGGAATGGAAATCAAAATAGACATTGTTATCCTTAGCAAATTGACTGACACTTAAGAGATTTTTGGTGATTTGTGGAACAAGAAGAAGCTTATGTAAATGAAGTGAAGTATGTGGAGAAAAAGGAGAACAGAAACTACTAGAACCAATAGAGGAAATTGCCAAACCTTGGCCATTACCAACAAATATCTGATCTGGACCACCATACTGATTACTGTGTAACAGATTAGCTGGATTTGGAGTTACATGATGTGAAGCTCCTGAATCAGGATACCAGTCCAAAGTCATGTGATTGTTAGAAGCACCAACAAAAGCATGAGTATTACCAGCCTGTGAAAAATTGGTTGGAGGCTGCAAGTTATGAAAGGATCCAGGGAAGGCAGATGAGGAACTCCAGTTAGGATTAATTGAGGGATGAGAGACTGTCAAGTGTGCTGCAGCAGGAAAGGTGGTTGGAGAGTTCATTGGATTATGTGAACTCATTGGATAATGAGAAGAACTGGCTGAAGGAGAAGACGAACTGTTGTTGTACCTCCACCAGCAGTTGGTGGCCTCATGAGCATTTTTCTTGCAAAGTTGACAAGTAACAAAGAACCTACCACCAACAAAATTTCTGCCACCACGATGACGTCCTCTGCCACCACGCCAACCACCACGAGTTGGCTGCACAAAGTTTCTGATGACATTTCCTTGTTCGAAAGACTGTTGAACAATTGATCCTTGTGGTCTGTAGCTGGCTTGATCTGGAGCACGTGAGACAAGAGGTAACTGAGGACTGTGAGCCACATTGATGGAGTTGAGACTTAATGCATGTGACTGAAACTTCGTGAGCATTGCTTCTTGAGCCAAGATCTGTGACTCGAGATCATCAAAACAACTTGATTCTCTGCCTCTGAAGTAGGTGATGAAGGAACCATATTCTTCAGGTAATCCTTCAAGAACTGTGCGCACAAGTTCTTTATCAGTGAGAGGCTCACCAAAAGCAATAAGCGTGTCACCAAGAGCCTTCACTCGAGCAAGATACTCTTCAATGCTTCTATCACCTTTCTTGATGTTTTTGAGTTCGGAACTCACTTGATTCGCCTTGGCTTTGGTTACTGAGTCAAAGTATCGATGAATTATGTCCCAAGCTTGATAAGACTGTCGAACTCCAAGAATCTTGTTGATGATTTCCTCTGAAAGTGTAGACTGAAGCCATGTAAGCAGCATTTTATCGGTTTTCTCCCATTCAACAAAGGCTGGATTTACTTTTTCACATGCACGATCTTCATCAGACAGAAAACGCAGTGGAACTTGAGGATTTACCAGAAAATGTTCGAGTTGATGAGCTATAATCGGTGGTTCAACGATCTGTTTCCACAAGAGAAAGTTCTTGTTTGTCAATTTTACTAACAGCTGTGTATTGAAAAACATAGGTGATCTTGAATCTTTTGAGGTATTATGAGAAGAAGAATTGATAGTATCAGCAAGATTTTGTGTAGCGGAAGCCATGGAAAGGCAAGTAATGGATCAGGGCCCCAAGATTGGAGCTCTGATACCATAAACAAAAGCAAGGTTAAGAGAAAACAGAGAGAAAAGTCAGACAACTTGAGGAAGAAAGCATTCTGATAATCTGGTGTAATTCATTGAGTTACAAAGAGAGTACATTCTAGCTTTTATATTACAAGAGTTATAAGAGTAATCAGTTGCTAGAGATGCAACTGAACCCGTGAAATATGGAGTTAGTTGAAACACTCTTAACTAATCTAAACTAATCTGACGATGCACTAAACTGAGGCTAATATATTCCAATATGTAGGAAACTCAAAAATTAAAACTGAATGAATAAACCATAGAGCTCAATGGGCGCTTAGTGATGAACAAACATGTGATTGTATGTAAAGATACTATCGCAGGTTTGAATTATATTTATGCCAATTAGTTGAAGGCTAGTTTTTAACTAATTAAGGCTCGATTTGGCTTATATATTTTTTTCTTAACTTTTAATTTGTAAAAAAAATTAAAATATTTGGAGACTCCTACAAGAAAATTACATTTTCATGAGAAAAATTAGCCACTAAAAACATTTCAATAACATATGTAACGAATTCAACAAAATATTGCAATTTCCAACAGGATTTTGTGATTGAAAATTTCTTGCAAAAGTAGTCCGCGAAAAAATGTGTTACTAAGTAGCCACAAATAGTTTGAGATTTGACAATTATGATTATCTTTTATATTCAACTGATGGTGAGGATGATGAACATTTTAATAATAAAAACAATAAATTTCAAAAAAAAAATCATGATTTATTTTAGAATTATTCATTGCACAGTTTTTTTTATCACTAAAATTCTCCTAATGAATTTTTCCGTTCAAATTTATCTTTAATGCTATTAAATTTTTACATTTTTCAGTTCATTTTGTTTTAATGAATAAAAAAAATTAAAAAAGTAAGTGATAAAAAAACATAAAATATTTTTTTTGGTAGATATCTATTATTGAGTTTTAATCTCTTTACTCTCTTTAGGAGTTAGACTCTTAAAATTTAAAGTCACTATCCTTTGAGAACTTCAAATCCTGTGGGTTTAGTTAAGTCGCGACTAGATCGACAATTCTTGGGCAACACAAAGTAATTTTATAATAAATCACAATAATTTTAAGGGAAAAACAAACGTCATGTTACAGATAATTTTTGTTTCCTCCTGCTTTCAGATCGTTTTCCGTGCAAGCTTTTTTCTTCATTTTTTTTAATATTTGGTGGACCCTACAAAAATATGACTATGTAACATGATGTACCAATTTTCCTGTTACATGGCATTTACAAAACCCTAATTTTAAACCTTTAATAAAAATTAAAAATCTCCTCTAACTTATTGTGAAAAATAATGTTGAACTGAATAAGTTAATAGCTTGTATTACCATTATAAATAGTGTTGGTTTTATTTACCCAAGAATGTGTTATACAAGACAAAAGTTTTAATGCCTTGTTGAAAAATGAAAATCGGACTGATGACAAATAAAGATATTAAATCATGTAATATCAAGTTACTTTAAACCATTATGATAATTAAAAGGATTTCAAGTTTATAAAGTACTAGTGAATTACCCGTGCGATACCCGGGGGAAAAAGAACAAAATCGTTGTCGCCATCGTTGGTGTGTCGTCTTACTGGTAAATCCACACGTTGATCTTGATATGAAACTCTTAATAATAATATCATAATAAAAAATAATTGTATTGTTATAATTTTTAACTTAAAAAGGCTGTAGCATTCAGAAAGATAAAAAAGTAAAATAAAATTTTGTAGGATGAAACGTTTAATTGTATCGAGTAACCTTCACGTCCAATTGCAAAAGTGATAAATAGAATAATGTCAATGTAAAAACAATTTAAATGTCATAATGTCAAAACTGCTCACAATTAATAATTCACAAATAACATGATACAATTCGGTGTTCCAGCAAAATATCTCTGACATCAGCCTGCTAACTATAAAAGAAATAAAAATAGTATATGTTAGCATAACATATGATTTAGCGAATAAAGAACAGAAGAACTGAACAGGTAATTGTCAGAAGTATTATTCAATGTGGTTTTTTGCTTTTGAATTTAAGAATCATATTTTAAAAATACAGTATAAAAATAATCAAAATCCAACGCTAATCAACATTTGAAAAAAAATATAACTTAAGGAATGCAGATTTTACCTGTACCAAAGAACAACGTTATATCCAATCGACTGAAGCAATATAAATTACAGTAATCTCTGAAATACTTCTTTGTAGACTATGTTAAAGGTACTGTTTGTTACACAACCATCATCATCAACTATCAAAATCTTCAATCCCTTTTTGCTCTTTACTCGGGATAGTGCCACATATAATTGCTCATGACTAAAGACTGGCCTGGGTAGATAAATTCCAACATGAGAAAGCGATTGTCCTTGACTCTTATTGATTTATTGATTGTCATGGCAAACGAAACGACGAGGGGAAATTGTCTTCTTTGAAAATTTACAGGAAAAGAATGACTTGAGGAGCTCATTGTCATTCTAGGGATTAACACATTTTCTCCTATATTGCTTCCTGTAAGAACAATTGCCTCAACCACATGATTGCCTAATCTTGTAATAAGCAATCTTGTTCCATTGCATAAACCTCTTGATTGGTCAATATTTCTTAATAGCATGACTGGAACTTTGACCTTCAAAATTAATTTATGATCCGGAAGCCCAGAACAGGAGAAGGTATTTAAGATCTCAGGTGAGAATTCATCATCCTCAAGGGAAGAATTACCGTCTTGCTTCAAAATATTATCTGAACTTAAATATATTCTTTCGTCACCTGGAATCAAAGACATTAAGTTCTCATTTAAAATAGAAACATCTGCCAATTTTGGAGTCAAAATGGCACGTTCTTTAAAGAATGTGGGTTCTAAAATATGATCCAAGATATCAGGGTACACAAAATCCATCAAATCTGAAAGTGGATTCAGTGATTTTTTAATCAATAATTCATCTGGAATTGTTATAATAGATTCTCCATCCACATCATCTCCAAGAACACCATCCCCGACTTTAAGAAGCCAATCAGAAAATTCTTTTATTTCCATTAAATTGTGAATGTCACTTCCAGAACTAAGCTGCATGTTCTTGGTCAAAGTTAATAAATGACAATGAGACCAAAGACAAGAAGAATTAATGGTTGCATGGACTATATCTTGCCTGCTTCCATGAGGAACAACAGGTAAGATTTGCCTGAAGTCACCCCCAAGAACAACAACTTTCCCACCAAATGGTTTATCAACACAACTTGAATCAGAAAATCTAAGAACATCTCTAAGTGTTTTGTCTAGAGCCTCAAAGCAAAATCTGTGTACCATTGGAGCTTCATCCCAGATGATTAGCTTTGTTTTCGCTAGCAATTCGGCAATATTAAAATCCTGCCGTATATTACAGGTTGAATCCTCAGTGATCTGAATTGGAATACGAAATCTAGAGTGTGTTGTCCGGCCTCCAGGAAGCAAAAGTGATGCAATCCCGCTAGAAGCAACATTAAGTACAATTTCGCCTTTTGATCTAATGGATGCTGACAATGTATTCCAAATAAATGTTTTTCCTGTACCACCAAAGCCGTATAGAAAAAAGAATCCCCCTGTACCCACTGAAACTGCTGAAATTATCTTGTCATAGACAACTTTTTGCTCATCTGTAAGGGAACTCATTAGTCTTTTATGTTCTTCAACCAAAAACAATTTGTCATACAGTAATTCATCAAGCACTAAGCGATTGTGCATATCAAGCAAAGATGCACCAGTGATGCAGGGCATTGAAGGGTAATCAGAAAGGCATTTTCCATTACTCTGTAGCACTTTATCAATTTTAGCAAGTGTTGTGTTTTTTATTTGTTCTTCAGTAAGATTTGCATCTGTAGGAACGTAGAAAACAATGAAAAAATGACAATTGAAAGTACAATTCTAACAGGACTCATGGTACATTATTTTTTCACAAAAAGCGGTATATTCAACAGAAAAAAATAATGATAAAAAATTATAGTGCATACGATATGTTCATAATGAATACCTGGATGTCCTACTGTTGTTCTATGTCGATAAAGAACATCGTCAGAGAGAAATTGCCAACACTTCCCCCAAACATTTTCAGGTCTATTCATTGAGTTACCGAACAACAACAAAGCAAAAAGACGTCTAAGATAAAAAGCTGACTGCCAAGAACTTGCCTCCTTAATTGCATCAATGTATTCATTGTCATCATCCAAAAGTCCAAGAGAATAGCAAGCATCTTTAAATGTTGGAAACATCACCCCATTGATAGTTCTCAGATCCTCGTAACTTGTGCAACCCTTTTTAAAATTAAGAAGCATTCGAAGATAGAAATATTCTCCACTATTTGCAGAAAAACGATTTATTCTTCCAATTGAGAATCCTTTTTTTCTAGGATGCCATTCTTGACTATTTGCATTATAAACAAAATGAGTTGGATATTCAGCATAAGTAAGATGCCTACCTTCTGGAAATTTTTTATTTGCATCCATCCAACTCTCAAAAATTGATTGTCTAAACTCCTCCCTTGTCTTTACTTCAGATATTGATGCAGTATCAGGAAAAACAACGGTCTTTTCATTGGGTAAGTGAAATGACAATCTCATCACAGGGGGGTTTCTGTAATGAATTTCAAATCCAAATATTCTCCTAGCAGCTTCACATGTGGATACATACCTATCATAAATAAAGAATTATGTTAAATGGAGTCTAGTATAAAAAGTAATACATGCACAGTAATTCAAAAGCTAATGGAGATTAATTTCAGTACCTACAATCATAAAACATTTTAATTTCATCATCTGAATGATGTATAGCAGCAGTAACTCTATCATTTCCTTTATGAATGTATTTAAAAAGATATTTAATAGCACTGGTCTGACAGGTATATTCCACATTAATATGAGCCTGGTACTTTAAAAGGAGTTTTGCATTATAAGGCACAACAAAACGATTATCAAGTTCAACACCATTTTTCTTCGCAACCCTCCCATTATCTCTTCTCTTATAATAAGGGAATCTGTCATCATCAATAATCGTACGGGAACAAAAACCCTTTGGAAATTTCTTTGTACACTTTCCCTCCTTCATGCAAGGTGACTTGTAATTGTTAGCACTACAAGGACCATGCATCATGTAACTTGTGACAGCAAGAAAGAGAGAAGGATGTGTTTCCTTGTTAGGAATCTCTGTTGAAATCAATATATCAATATCAAGTCCATTGTTGGGCTTGTTAGAAGGGTGCAAGAACAACAGAATATGAGCATGAGAGAGTCCACGTTTTTGTAATTCAATTGTACAAACATCTGTTACAGTTCAATAAACGATCAAAGGCTGGATTAGAAGACAATAATACATATAGAGCATTTGTGGGTTCCAGTAAAGTTGTAAAAATTGATTTTGCCCATATACTTACATGCATTAACTCTGCCAAGAACATGTTCTTTTTTTTAAATCATGGAGCAATTGGTCTAACTTGAACTTGAAAACTCTGCAAAGAATATCAGGTCGATCTTCAGCGTTTAAGTTTATGGCCCTAAGAAACCGTGTAATTTCTAGCCACTTAGGGTTGCAGGTGATTGTTATAAAAAGATGAGGATATCCAGCCCAACAGCAGATTGCAAAAGCATCCTTACAATTCTCAGCCATATATCTAGGTCCGCCTATGAATGAAGAAGGAAGAATAATACGCTTTCCAGTTTTAACAGTTGCATCCTCCCCTTTATCCGATGCATGTATTATATTTTTGTACAACTCTACCCTTAGTTGATTTTGATTATGGCGAATGAAAATAAGACGGTCATACTCAACCACGGTATAAGCATCAACCAGGAATTGCTGGAATAGTTTTCTGGAGTGAAGAAGAATTTGGGACTCCCCTGATCTCATTTGAAGCCTAAACGAAAAGAATTCTTTCATGCTAATCGTTGATCTTGGGTTTGTCCTACCACTGGAAATGGAAGCACGCTGGACATCATCGCGATAACCATCCTCTCCACAAGGAAATAACAAAGGATATTGTAAGCCAAGATATAAGGGATGCTTGACATCAATGCGCTGCAAAAGTCCGGTTTGTGTCTCCACAATGATGTCTCTGTCACCCATGACGTTGTCTATATCTCCTACAATCAAAGCAGCAACTTCAGATGCAGAGGGAAGATTATAAACTCTTCCATCGCTTCCACGCTTTCGAATAAGCCTCAACTTCACCCCATTGAAGTCATCTTCCTTATAACGGTCTCTAGCATACCAAAAAGATTGCGCAATTCTGTTGTGCTCATCTAGCATTTCCTTCAAAGATCTCACAATACCGGGATCTAGGATGTCTTCATTGTTTGTGGGACTGCATTTCCAATAACATGTAATCGTTAGTAAACTAACTATAATAACACAAATAATACACTTCAATGCACAAAAAATGCGAAAATAAACAAAGAGCAATGCCTTAGAAAATCCAATATATTGTCAATTTCATTCTCGGTATTGTAGATATAAAGTTGAGCAAATTTTGGAGACGTGTTATCAGGCGGAATAAGGCTGCCCATTAAATGATGAACCTGTCCTCCAACTCGAAAACAGTAAGGTCCAAAACCTTCATTTACGGATCTATCAACTTTTGCACCGAAGGAGGTGAAGGCAAAAATCATGTTGTACGTTCGAATATATCGTAAAAAATGACGGCTCCTTATATCTTCATTATTGTGCAGTTGAAGCAATGTATCCGGAGCCATTTTTAAAGAAGGAAGTTTAACTTTTCCATTGCCGCAGCACAAACCGAACTCAGGCGTGCATGACTTTTTGTCTTTTTTAAGTCTCTCTTCATACCACATACTTGCTCCACAATGCGTGCAGATGAAAGTGGGATCCCCAACGTCCCAATAATCTACATATATTCAAAGAGCAAAAAGTCATATTACAAAGAAAATTATAATTCAGAATAAAAAATAATCAAATTAATTTATACAACGACCTTCGTTGACAGAAGATATGTCTAACACGGGCTGATCGGGTGAATTGGTGTCTGTAGCAAACACGGCTTACATTGGTTACTTGAGAAATGCTAAATAGTATACAAAATAAAATTAAAACGTTAAATAATAACAACACACATGCTATTCTTACTGATAATTTTGCTGCACAAGAAAAAATGATAAAGAGAACTTGCCTGGGAAAAGGAGAAGCAGAAAATGTAGGAACATTACGAAAACAAAAATCAGATGGTAATATACTTCAACAAAGAAAACTAAGCATATTGTTTCTGCCGTACCTTTCAGTGCAAACCTTTCATGACTGTGTCGTCTCTTTCGCGAAGTAGTTTTCATTGCTGATAGATTACTACTCATTATGGGATGCAAAGGAAAAAAACAAAAGGGTTTGCAAATGAAGAAGCGAAGTTGATATCAAAATATTAAAAAACAAGTATTAAGGCCTTGGTACACTGTCAAAGTTCAACACATGATAATAGGCCACATAATAAGAAAAATGTCAATAGCTCCTCGTTACAAAAAATCGACCAATCTACCGCTTTTATTGGCATTTATTAATTTGTTTAAAAATTTAAAAGTCCAACACACTAATTCGAAATTCAGGGGAGCATTAAAAATAACTTCAAACGAAACGTTTAATGCGCCACTTACCTTCACATTGGAATTGGTCATCTCATATAATGAGTCAGCTGATTTAAAATTTTGAATTTTGAAATGGAATCACTCACCTG